ACCCATTGATAATGATATGGTGAATTCCATCAGCAATGAGAGTTCACCATTCTGTAGTTAGTGTAATATTTAATTTTGCTCCAGCTCTTCGTACACTGCCAGAAAGATTACCATAAAAATATTGTATTATGGTCGCACTGCTTTCTTCATTTCGTAAAGGGACAAAAATGCCAGCAGCAAGTGGCATTGTAGCAAATGTACTAGTTTCTCTAAGACTTTGATACGTGGAGGCAGCATAAGCATTAGCATCGTACACAAACACCATATCGGCATATTCACCATTAGTATAAATGGAAGGCATAATGATGAGAAAGCCTATTACAAACTGATAAATGTTATAGATAGTTTCCAATGCTAATTTCAAATAGTATACATGCTTATGTTGCCTATATTTTTTATACAGTTAAGGATAAAAGGCCATGTTAGTATTCTATCTAATCCATCTCCTAAACAAAGCGTTTGCAGACATACCTTCACTTTGAACAACATTTAATATGAATTTTAAAGTTTAAATTTAATTAATAAAGTAGTTAGAACAAATAAATAGGTTTTATTTATTTCATATAACGTAAATAATTCATAACAAAGAAAATCTTTAGGTGTGAATATTTCCTAAACAAAGGGTTTGCGGACATATCTTCTGAGGATTTTTTTTTTCTTGTTTTGAGGTCCTTAGTTCATTTAACTCTAAACACCCTGTATGTATATGTATGTATATATGTATATATATATATATATATATATATATATATATATATATATATATACACATACATACATACATATACATACAGGGTGTTTTAGAGTTAAATATATAGTAGTATATATATATACTACTACTATTTATACCTAAATAGTAGAACTACAAAGATGAAAATTCACAAAGAAATTAAAAATGAACTATTCACAAACTTAGAAACTAAAAGAAATTAAAAAAAAAAGTTTTGAGGTTAAATAAACAAAGAAAAAAAAAAAATGAAACATTGTCTCTGGACAAAAACAAAAACAAAAATTCTGTAAGTCTATGGATTCGAACAGAGGCAGATGACGAAAAAATGCTTGTATACAAGCCTTGGCCGTAAATAAGATAAGGGTGGCAAGGGAATTAACGGCCACTTGGGCTGCCCAAACGAGCACTAATTTATCACTGTTAATTGTCAATAAATTGTAACTCACCTGTGTAGCCGTGATGTTAAAAATGTCCAACTGTTTATAAAGTCACTGTTGATAAATATTACCACATAATTTTAACTATTGATCACGTAACAAAGTAACAATCACAGAGCGACACCGAAGCTATACTGCAGTTGCAGCCATGACACTTGCTATTAAATCAATCTTAAACTACAAATATCGTCTTTTGATTTCTCATTAAAAAAATGAAGAAACTTTTGTGACAACCTAATAGATGGAAATGACAAGTGAAACCCTTAGACTTTCTTGTTGCTGGAGACTAATAGACTCTTGGTTAAAAGAAAGTAATTGATTATAGAAGTTAACAATCTATACATTTATTTCATTTTGATAAGTATATATATGCGAAATACTTAAAGAGGCGGTAGGAGACTCCATTACCTACAAACAATATTGTATAAACCATGGTTCCAATTTTCTAAAGAAAAATGTGGAATTTTTATAATGTTTTTTTTATTTTTGTTTTATTAAGTAAGTCACTTTTTTGTTTAATGGGTAACGATAACTAAAAAAAAACAAAAACGAATTTGTATAATTAACGATTGTTGGGTGGTTATAATAAATAAATCATGTTCTTCATTTGAGTTATGTTTTCATAAAATCACGAATTATTCATGATTTTTTTTTATCACTCTCCAAATGGAACTATAGATACCATACGTTTAGAAAACTTTCTTGTTTAATAATGTCCATATTAATTTAATTGAGGTCTCTGCAAAAAATTATCTGATTTGAAAGTGTGACTCTCCAATGTATCTTACGTACTCAACAAAAATAAATTATTAAAAAGTTCAATTTCTTTTTCTTTTCTTTAACCAAGGATGTATTGTGATAAATAAATTACTAAAATACACTTTTTATTCATAAAAAGAAAAATTGGTTTAGACGTTGTTTGTCGCTTACTAACCCAACAAAAATGTAACGGATACAGAAAAGGATCAATTCTTTGAAATGATACGAAGGAAGTGAACGAATGTGAGGAATGGATGATATCAATGGCAGATTGGACAGGTACGTGAAGATTGCAGGGAGCGAGGAAAATATGGTGAGGAAACAATTAAAATGGAGAGCGGTTCTTCAATTTTGTCTTGCAAACGCTATTATATTAACAACTAACATTTTCCCCGACAAACGAATATACCAGTGTACTTAGAGCAGAGCCGGACTGAAATGAAACATCCAATATTGACTTTTTATTATCTAAACAAGCATAATAAAAAAAACAAGCTACTACAATGCTACTACAAATGCCACAGAGAAGAGAAAGAGGAATAATCAAAGGCGGCTTTAAAATAAATACATGTCAGCTATAAGACCAAGAAACGGCACAAGTTAATCAAGAGAGAATAGAAGAAAAAGCTGTATTCAGAGAACAGTCTTAGGATTCTGATAATTCCGAGGTAAGCTGGAACGCCTTTAAGAAACCTATCTGCGAGGTTGTAGAAACAGTGTGTAGAAAATGTAGGATAGGTCCAAGAGTAAAGTAGGTACCCTTGTGTGGAGGAAGTTAAGCAAGAAATAAATTGGTAGGAAAAGAAGGAGATACATTGGAAGGAATACCTCAACTCTAATTCCGAAGCATACTAAAAAAAAGCACAAAGAGCAACGGAAGAAAATAAAAGATACGATCCTACACTCAAAAGATCCAAACCAAAAATGAGACCATTTCATCTGGGCTTTAGAAGACTTCAGAAAGTAGTAAACACAACATTAGAGTTTGCTGAAGACCCGACCAGGTTGTATTTGGTTGCAATTTAAGAAACCTCCTATTCAACCTCAGTATCTTTCAAAAAGAGTTAAGGAAAATAAATTTGGCAATTAATTTAGAGAAAATCAAATTTTGAGGGCAGAAAGGTAAAACAACCGCGCGGACATAATATTACGTTTTTAAAAAAAATAGAAATAGAACACGTGAGTGACTATATGTATCATGGATCCCGCCTAAATGAATATAGATGGGTGTATCATAAGGTAAAGGAGAGGATATGAGTAACGGGAAGATGATTTTATTCTCTGAAGACAGATTTCCTGGAAATAATGAAATTTCAAAATGTAATAAGAAGACAGTTTATAAAAACAAATTCATTCCGATACTGACATGTTCAAGCGACATTAAAGAGTAAGATCCAAGCTATAGAAATAAAGTACTTTAAGAGGGTCGAAGAAAGGACAAAAGAAAACTACGATTAGAGTAAGCCATGATGAGACCAATCGAGAAAGTATTGTAAGAATATCGCTTGAGGTGGTTCGCACATTTATGTAAAGACAAGGGCCGGAGTGGTAAAGGAAGAAAGAGCAGGTACGGTTCCGGGTTTTATGGGTGAAGCTCTATCTTAAGAAGGCACTTCACGTACGCTGAGGTAGATGACGGATGAACAAGAAAAATTGAAAATAAAATTATCATCTGGGATGATAATGAACTAATGTGAACAGAAGTGTTTTTAAATATATATATTGCATGAATTGGTCCTTAATGTACTGAGTGACTAACAAAATGTCCCTAATCCAAATATTGAATTTTTCGAGAAAATAATTGAAGCAATTTCAGGGATTAATTTTTTTCTACTCTATATCTGGTGGCATGAGACTTATCATTTACTCTATTATGGCTCATTCTTAAAATAAAATATCCCATTCTTGTAAATTTAGCTTCTTCAGAAAAAAATATTCTTCCATGGAAATAGAGTTTCCTTTCTCTAATTTTCAATCTCTTTAATGTTGGATCCGAATGAAGCTTTAATCACAAAAAGGACGTCAATACCAACTCAAAGTAATAGCTCTATATTAGGAATTAATATTTACAAAAAAAAAAAATACTGCCAATTGCTTGGATCATTTTTATGATAACGTCAATGTTATCAAGATTAGGAACATTTAATAGCATTGGTCTTAAGACAACGAGAATCGATTTCCATAATCTCAATTAAAACCACTGTTTAATTATCACTTAACGTGATATAATTTTGAAGAAGCTGTCTTTCCTGACGTATAATTCTTTATAAACAAAAAGTTTATTATCGCAAACTTAAAATATATCCCAGTCACTGAAAAATAAATATTGTAATAAAGCTGTGGAACATTTAGTCGCAGTTATTTTTGTTAATAACACAGATACTTTGGGGCGACAGAATATAAAATCACACATGTTTTATTCTACTTGCCACACTTACTTGTTGTAGTTTTCATGTAATACAGTTGTAAATTTCATTAAAATAAAAAAAAAAACTTATTTTACCTTAGATTAATTAATATGAACTTGAATCTTTTTAAACTAGACAGGTTTTCGTAAAGTGATATATCTGTAGTCCAGTTGGAGGATGGTATAAAGAAATCGCGAATAATTCACGATTTTATTAAAAATAGATCAGCGTTTTTCAACAGCTTAAATGTTCCCCTCAAATAGTTTCATAAAAGATAAATTTTACTTACATTTGGAGTATATTTTATCTAGTTTACTATGGAGCAATTGCTAAATTAAATATATATATATATATATATATATATATATATATATATATATATATTTTTTTTTTTTTTTTTTTTTTTTTTTTTTTTTTTTTTTTTTTTTTTATTGCTTCCTATTCATTGAAAATACTTAGATATAGTGTTAGTTCTTAAATCTGTTGTAACCTCTTTAAATATTCCCCTTTACTCACGAGGCACCCTGTATATATATACTTAATTTTTCTTCCTGAATATGTGCTAGAAATGGGAGAGCACAGGCTAAATAAACATGAGAAAACACCGTTAACCTACTAAATAATACAATAAACTATTTAGTATAAAAGTTTAGAAATTGTATGTACCTACTTCTTTCATCGGCATCTGAGTTGAAGTATCCTGAAAAAAAAAATTGTCAATTAATTAAATGCAGTCTCAGTAAAGGTCTTAAATTTATATATACATTCTACATTATATAATTTCCCCCACAACTCCGCTCTTTAATACTTAAAGCGTTAAAAACTCGTAGTTTACACAATATATTAAATTAGTTTTAATTTTATCTAAGAACATAAAGCTGGTAATAATTCTAAATTGTGGAGATTTGAACGATTTTTAGTGTATTAATTTTTAACGTTATTTTTTACTTAATCTGAGGATGTTTAAGATGGCTTCTATTGTAAAAGTCATATAATTATTATAATAAAACTTAATTCAGTATTTATCTTTTATAGGAATATCTTCAATTTGATAAGCTTGTAATTTAACTTTTTTTTTTTTAATCTTTATTGATTCTTAAAGGTTCGTTAAATCGTGAACTATCAGGAAATAAATCATGTTATTATCTATTTTATGCACTAAAGCACATAATTAATCTGAATTAGATATAATGAAAAGTGGCCAAACTATTTAGCAAAAATCATATGTCAATAATAATAAAATTAATTTAATTTTTTAATTTGTTTTTGCGTACTTTATTATGTTATGAGGTTTGGCCATATCATAAGTAATTATACAATTTTAATAATAAATGCTTTATGCTTTCTTTAAAATTCTTTCAGAATTTTAGTAGAGCACTTTTTGGGTCAGCAACTATTTATAGAAAGGATGCTTTATTGCATTTCTCATATTTTGAAAGTTGTTTTTGTCCTAGATCGGCGAGCAGCCCCTTTGTGGGGCGATGCACTATTGTGGATGAGCTCAAAGAAAGATAACTAACTATATTCTGTACTAATAGTTTTAATTTATATATTAATTTTAAATTCAATATTAATAGTTTTAATTTTTTAAATCGTAATATAAAGCAAGAGTGAAGAAAGGTTTAATATTCAAGATGCCAATCACAAAAAATGCACAATGTTTTAATTATGTATAACTAGTGCCCTCCTTCAGCTTCCACTGGCTTTTAATACTAGTGATGCGGCTGGAAAAGTGGCACTGGGATCTCTGGAGTCCTGCTTTGCTTTCCACATGTGGGGAGAAAAGCCTGGCTCGGAGATTCCTGGGCGAATGTATATATTGTATATAGGTATGAATGTGTTTAGAAGTTTTTATTTTATTTTGTTTGTTTATTTATTTATTTTTTCCTATTGATTTACATTTTTTTATAAGTATTATTTATTTACTTTTTATATTTACAGTTACTTCTGTATTACTTGTATATACTGTATGAATGAGAACATCTAGCCTTAATACTTATAGCCCTCCAACAGTGGCTGATTGTATTATTATTCAATAAAAAAAAATAAAAAAAATTATGTATGAAATCTTACTATATAAACTCTGATGCGATGCATCTCACAACTTTTACTCATTACCCACAATCTCACAAAATTTCCGGGAACAACCAGTTCAGTCATGATTTTCCTAAAACAGTTCCTGTCCACAGAATCATATGCCGTTTTGAAATCGACAAATAGTGCATGGACGTCCTGAGCTACTTCCCATCGTTTTTTGAGTTATTGTTTTAGGATGAAGATCTGGTCTAGCGTGCTCCTTCCTTTTCTGAATTCAGCATGGTAGTCGCCTATTATATTATCGTAATACGGATATATTCGGTTTAGTAGGATATTGGTCATTACCTTGTAGGCAACCGGAAGGAATGCTATGCCTCTGTAATTACTACACTCATACATGGAGCTTTTCTATAGGATAGGACAGATGAGGCCCGTATTCCAACCCTCAGGTATCCTTTCCTCCTCCTCTATTTTCTGGATTATTTGTAATAGCTTGGCTCTGAATTCTTCTCCTCCATCTTTAAACAGTTCTGATGGTAGATTGTCCATATATGTGGCCTTTCTTGTTTTAAGCCTTTCTGTAGATATTTCTACAACATCTTCTGGTTCAACATCTTTTTATTTTCATATTTTTTCAACATTTTCTTGGTCAAGGTTCTCAGTATCGTTCATGTCTTCTTCTTTCGTGGGTATCATACATTGTATGTAGTGCATGTAGTGCACCACCTGTGCACTATATATTGTAAATTTTTTTCGGATCCATGTTTTCAACGGAAATACACATTTTGAGGTTCCCTGAGTCCTGCACCTATAGCCCAACTGCGTGCATGAGAATTTAAATCACTTATGATTGGACAGTTTACCGTCCGTAAGTTAACCTTTAATATCCTCAATTTAACGGAGATCGAGAGGAAAATGGTATGTGATTAAGACCGTGAAAGTTAACTTATGTTAAGCGGCCATGACAGATGCGTTGTCGAATTTGATAGTTACCGTCATAACATGGAGAATTTGAGATCGTCAGACCGCCTTCACCCCACATTATCGTGGTCCACTCACCTTGCAGACATCGTTTTTTTCCAACAATATCTCCAGCGGCGGATAAAACAAGTAATATCCCTACACAGTAATTTAGGTAAGCTTTTAGGTGTCTTTCTCTTGAAGTGTATAAATCTAACTAACTTTTTCCTTAAGGTAAGTAAGGATGCTGTCTCCTTGCTCATCTCATATCAGTCCACACTTCATTCCAAATCTAATCATTCTGTGTCTTAATTCCTCATCGTTTAATTTCCAATCCATATCAGCAGCCTTCACCCCTTTAATTTATAAGCCGCGTTCTCAAATAAATTTCAAATATCATGGGACGGAGTTAAGGTATGGTGTTAATTTTCTGCCTTCTAATATCCGTTCTATTTTTAAAATGGAAGCACTTTCACTATTGCTGACTGAATCTTACAAAATTAAACTTGTCCAATATCTTAATAGTATATTTAACTAAATCATCATGGAGATGCCACTTTTAGAGGTGGATCTCAGAGTATCCGATTCAGACAACACCGATCGGTTAATATTGGTTTTTCGGAGACTTGGAGAAATGAATCCTGGCAATCACTCTCAGATTGAACAGCTGGTCGATCAGTTGATATATGAAGTTGTGATTCCAGATTGCTATTCAGCCTATATTCAGATTTTTTATTTTGTATTGTGTTTTAATATTTATTTTGTATGTCGTTGGCGTATTATGATAGTTAATTATGGCGTTTCGTAATTATATATTGTGTGTAAATATGTAAATTCGACAGTTATGGTTAGTTTGAACCTTTAAGTTTTTAACCCTGTGGAATAAAAGTCTTCAGCGCAGAGAGTGAAAGGACACATTAATTAAATGGAGGTGAAATATATTGAAGAAGAGGGGCTCTAAAGGGCTTCAAGACGTAAAGCCAAAAGGTCTAAAAAGGTGAAGTCGGTCTGAGGAGGCTAAAAGTAACTGTCTACTCTTCAGACCGTAACAAATTTTAAAAACATCAAGAGAACCTAAGAGTGTATATTGAAAATGCAGATAAGATTGTGAAAGCAAGGTTCAAAATAACACCAACATTAAGGTTTAGTCCTTCGTCGATGTGATTGAAACTATGCTGGAAGAGAGAATAAAGATTGCTAAGAGAAATCTGAAAGAGTTTCTGTCGTTGCAATGAAATCCAAGACCCAAGGGTTTCATTGCAACAACAGGTTAAATAGGCTACTTCACCTCAGACTTTTGTTGCACATTTGTTTTTCTTTCACAGTCAGGTTCAAGGGATTCTTTTATTCTTTCTTCGGCCTCTTTTCCTTATTACAGTAGGGAAAGATGCAGCATCGGGCGAAGGATCGGCCGGTATTTCACTATTTTCTTCATCTTTTTCTTTGGACGGTCCTATAGCGATTAACGGACGTTGAGTTGTTGGAAGTCCCTCTATCATCTTCGGCACTGATTGCTCAACTATAATTTAGTGCGCATAGAATGTACTGTCGGAGAAACAAGTGATTCTTTTACTGCCTGTTGTACTAGGAAAGAAACTCTTTCAGATTTCTCTAGGCAATCTTTATCCTCTCGTCCAGCATAGTTTCAATCACATCAACTAAGGACAAAACCATGCTGTTGATGTTATTTTGAAACTTGCTTTCACATTCTTATCTGCATTTTCAATATACACTCTTAGGTTCTCTTGATTTGTTTTTAACTTGTTATGGTCTGTAGAGTAGCTAGTTACTTTTACTCTCCTCAGACACATTTCAACTACCATAATGAGAGTTCTTTCTAGCCCTTTTGGCATTACGTCATGAAGCCCTTTAGAATCCCTCTTCTTCACTACCTTCACCTACAGTTTCCTTTCACTCTCTGGTCTGAAGACTTTTATTGCACAGGCTTAAACACTTAGAGGCCCAAACTAACCCTACCTGCCGAATTAATATATTTATCCACAATATAAAATTACAAAATAGCGATAATTAACTATTAAAATATGTCCAACGACATACAAAATAAATATTAAAACACAAGACAAAACAAAAAACACAATATAGGCTGATGAGCAATCTGGAATCACAACTTCATATATCAACTGATCGATCAGCTGTTCAATCTGAGAATGATTGCCAGGATTTATTTCTCCGAGCCTCCGAAAAATAACTATTAATCGATCGGTGTTGTCTGGAGCGGATACTCTGAGATCTACCTCTAAAAGTGGCATCTCCATGATGATTAAGTTAAAATATACTAATAAAGAGTGGATATTAAAAATATGATAAAAAAAAGTTAAATATACTATTAAGATATTAGAAAAGTTTAATTTTGTAAGCTTCAGTCAGCAATAGTGAAAGTGCTTCCATTTTAAAAATAGAACGGATAATAGAATGCAGAAAATTAACAGCGTACCTTAACTCCGTCCCATGGTATTTAAACATTCTTTGAAAACGCGGCTTATAAATTAAAGGGGTGAAGACTGCCGATATGGATTAGAAATTATACGATGAGGAATTCAGACAGAGAATGATTAGATTTGGAATGAAGAGTGGACTGATATGAGATGAGCGAGGAGAGAACATCCTTACTTCTATAAAAGGAAGTTAGATTTATAGAAATAGAAATAGAAAATAATTTTATTCTGGGACGAAGTCCCTTCA